TTTTTTCAATCAAAAATCTTTCCAAGACTCAAGTTTTTATATTGTTTTGTAAACTTTATTTCAGAAGACGTGCAATATGTTTGTCGCGAGAAGCGACAAAGAAGGGGCGGAGCCACATTTCATATAAAAGCTATGACTTTATGCATCGTCAAAGGACTTTTCAGGGTTTTTGCTCATGCTTCTTTGAATCGTGCTTGTTTGCGTAATAGACTTTGTTAGTTGATATGTTGCTATGATTGGACGACAAATGATTGTGAGGATGTGAACAACTTCATCTTGAATATGTTGCTGCGATATGGGAATCTTCACTTGTTTCGGTATGGCTGTGAATCCACCTCCTCATCTATGATTTCAGCTTTGATATTTGCAGCTGAGAGCTCTCGAAGTTTCATCATACCTTTTCTCTGCGATGGCGTGAGGTTAGGCACCGATTACTGTAGCCATAGCGTATTATTACAGCGGAGTGGCAAATACCCGAAAGGCGTCAATAGAAGGTATTGGCTCTTCTGGTATGTAGAATATGGGAAATGATATCGCAGGCAATATCAGGCCTATATGCGATTTGGCTGACTGTTCTTGCTTCGCTATGTATGATAATCGGTCTTGAACTTGCTTCAGATTGCCTACAATGTGCGCATGACACCAGGACATATTAGTATCGCAGGCGGTCCTAAACTGAGCAAGAAAAACAGGCGTCATTCGATATGGTTGTACCGCCACAATAGCTACCCTATTTTCAGGTGTATAAGCCGCACTTTTTCGAATTTTCGCCCAAGCTGCTCAGCCGCTTCATTGTGTTTGAAAAAGCGATCCTTATGCCGCACGATTCTTTCGGGCAATACGCAGCACGGTGTAGGGTTTTCTGGATGCGAAATCCATTGATGTGTTCGGGCTGGTCGATGTAAGCTAGGACCACCCCGCGGCTTATACACCTGAAAATAGGGTACTTGCGATTGGATGAGCCCATGATTACCAGTGTAAACACATTTTGTTAATCTGAAGAACGGCTCTGGTGGACAACACACTTGCATTTTGAATGATTGTCTCCTTTCTAACAACTCATCGATTATTCGTCGCAATCGTAACTTGGGACTGTAGGGGCTCACGCAAATAATTTCATGATTTCGTTCGCCACTTTTTTGCAGAGGCTATCGGGGAAAAATTCACAATACAATTTTTAAGCCACACAATTCTCAGTTGAAATATGAAGTACATGAAATGCTTCTTTGTTTTCAGGGCCGGTTTCAGAAGTTGCATTAGATTTGTTGTATCTGCCGATTACTCTTTAAAAGCCCGCTGTCTGTGTAGTTTCTTCTTTCCAATAAAATTTAAAATGTATGATTGTCCAAACACGGCAAAGAAAGAGTGATCTGTCTCGTGAAAAACTTTCCGTCTTACTGACAACATTTCCTTCACTAGTTGAAGTATTTTGCTGGTACAAATATTTTATATGACGCTGAGATTTCCAAGAATGTCAGTACAGTCAACAATCAATAAGGTCTACTTTGGCGGAAATTGCCTTTCTCAAACCTGGAAGAAAGCAATTCAGCAGATGACATCGCTCCAAAGGTAGATACAGCTTCAAAACACTGCATAGCGTACGTCCCCTACTATGTAAACGTATCAGACCACCAGATCAGACTCAGTTTGGTGTAATGAAATGAGCTTACCCTTTACGCTTTACTCTCATGACTTGTTTGCTTGATCTATGCTGAAGGTGCGGAAGCTAGATGCATTTAACCGCTTTGATTCCTTGATGAAAGTTTAGCAGCCAAAATTAAACTCATGTAAGATGACTCAAAACGGCTGTCTAGTAAAGTAATTTGCTGATTACTTTCTCCCGGAACCCGTGTAGTACTGCAACGGTGTTCTGAGTTAATGACAAAGGAGTTATAGGCCTGTTGATTGTCCAGTAAACAGCAGTGATTCCTCGTGCATTTTTAACACAAACTTGGATCTGAACACACTAAGACGAACCCGATATGAACTTGCTGAGCTGTCCTGTACTCAGACAATCGCTGGGGGCAGGCGGGCACCGGAAAAATAGATTGCTGATTTCTCGTACCCCGCTCGCGGATTTTTTGCAATGCAATCAGGACTTTTCGGAAGACCGCTTGCTGAGTCAGCGGATTTTTGAGAGACCGCCTGTTGAATTTTTTTCGCTCTTATCTTTTGCAGATATATTGCTGAATCTCTAACAAGGTAACGATCCCAACTTAAGGCGGCGAATTGGAATGAACCGCATATCATTAGATGCGCCTTGATGAGCTGATTGCAAATCTACCTTCCATATCTGCGACAACGTTATCTGGAAGAAGTTATGAAAGGATAAAAACGTGAAGTAGCGGGGGTTTTAGTGCATAATTCGCTTCAAAATCCAACTTGGGATTGTATGACTAGCATGATATTGAGTGCACTGATTTCAAGAATGCTCACACTCTAAAGAAACACAAATAAGTATTTTTGAACAACTAATTTTTGAGGTATTGCGCTGTATATTTGCCAAATTTGGATTTTTCATTGCTCATAGCTTTTACCAAAGAACTTTAGTTGCTTTTTAGCTGTTCAGAAACATATATTTGCGTTTCTCTTGAATGTGAGCATTCCTTGAAATCAGTACACTCAATATAATGCTGGTTGTACACTTCCAAGTTGGATTTCAAAGCAAACAATGCATCAAAATCCCCGTTACTTCACATTTTTAACCTTTCATAACTTCTTCCAGATAACGTTGTCGCAGATATGGAAGGTAGATTAGGAATCAGCTCATCAAGACGCATCTAACGGTATGAGGTTTATTCCAATTCGCCACCTTAAGTTGGGATCGTTCCTTTGTAAGGAATCGAGAACTCAGCAAGCGGTCTTCCGGAAAGTCCTGATTGCTTTCCAAAAAATCCGCGAGCGGGGTGCGAGAGATCAGCAATTATTTTTCCGGTGCCCGCCTGCCCCCGGCGATTGTCTGAGTAGTTGATGTGTTATCTTTGTTTACTTTTCAAAAGAATTCAATAAATTGTTTACTCTCTACAGTCAACAACAGAGAACTAACCGGTTGATCTCAGCTGAATATATACAGGGCGTCCCCTGTATATTAGGTTGTCCCGAAAGTTTTATCGGTTTTTATCATCGCTCACTAAAACTCACAGAACACAAATCCATAGACGACCTAGGTACCATTTGATTCGGATTTTTATTTTCTTTCTTACAGTCATACTTGCTCTCTGATCAATCCTGTCTTTGCAATATTATCGCCATCGGTTCCCGAGCAGCTTTACGGTAACGCCAAACCTTTCCTGATTCTTACAATTTTTTATTCTGAAGTTTTCAAAGAGCGCTGGTAACTGTTATGTAGAGCAAACCTTTGGCTACACTGTGTTTATTTTAGATTACATGGACGGCGTTTACCAAGTCCGTTATAATTATTTATTCAAGAAAACCGCGGCTTTTTGATTGACTTCTACACGTAAAAGTACCAAAAACTCCAAAAAACTTTCCTGTTTAAAAAACCTTCTTGTAGTCCAAGAGTTGCTCTATTTGATCCATAGTTAATTCTTTTCGATATTATGTAATGAAATTTTTAAAAATTAGCCTAGCTTTGAGCAGGTAAAATTGACAGGTGGAGGAATTTTAGCAATTATCAAAAAAAGCATACAAGATGATGGTACGAAAATGTATCCATAAGAAAGAGAAGGAAAAGCTGCATCAAATGCATGTTGAAACTCACTCAGGCCTTTATTCTGCGTGGTTTTATAGTGGTTTGAAAAAACGGACAAAACTTTCGGGACAACCTAATATTAAGATGTATATATCAAGATGTCCCCTTAAGATGCATCTAGCCGCGTTTTGCTGAATTTTTTGGTAAAAATTAGCAGCAGAAATCAAACTCATGTGGGATGACTCTACACGGCTGTTTAGCTAAGGTATTTCGTTGCTTATATTCTCTCAGAACCCATGAGGTACTGTTTTCTGAGTTAGTGACGAAGGTGTGATAGCGCTTTTGGCCGTTCAGGAAGAAGCGGTGCTTCCTCGTGCATTTTCTTAACAAAGACTCAAATCTGCAACGGTAAGACGATTGGATATAAACTTGCTGAGCTGTCCTGTAGTTCATGTACAATATTATTTTTGTCACTTTTCAAAGGAATTTTAACAAAATATTTACTCTTTGTCGCATAGCTGAGAACCAACCGGTTGATTTCGAGCTGAACATATACAGGGCATCTCATTGAATGTGCACACTGTTTGGTCGTTGATGACTCTCTTGCTTTGATGTCTTCCCCGACCTTTAGGTACAACATTATAATGCTGACTTCTACTTAGTTCTACGTATGGAGCAAACCATCAATATCTCCTCTTTACTGTAGGACCACGGTAGGAATTTCGACAAAGATTTCAGGCCATGAGGACATAGTCGTTCTCAAAAAAAACGATCGAGCCAAAAATTCTCATACTAAGGTAACAAAAGCTGCTGATTTCCGAATAAAAAATTTTCACTTTACTGTGATGCTTCTTTTCTAAGTCATTCCAAATAAACCGTAGCAGTTAAATTCTCAGCATTTGTCAAAAATGTGATTATACCGTCAAAAAAGCTGAAAACACTCGTAAAAAGTTGAATAGTTGCGCGAAAACCTTGGTACACGATTACCAAAATTTTTGAAAAAAAATCATCAGATGGCTCGAATCACAATGGTCCCCTATGCTGGTTTTACCGTATTTCTACAGTAACGAAGAGCGATCGGTGATTCGCTCTATACTGTAAATCGTTGAAAAAGAAACCACAGAATGGTGACTATAAAAGTCGGCGATAGACATTAAAGCAAGAAAGGTATTAGCAATCAAACCGTGTGCACATTTTTTGGGAGACCCTGCATATCTCTTTCTTTAAAACCTATCAGATCCTTTATTGCAGTTTGGTAATGATCAAAAGGGGATGAATTTATAGCTTAAGAGCAAGCAGCGGTGTGGACTATGCCGATGTAGACACTCACTGTGAAATTCTCGTTCATTATGTTTCTCAAAGCAGACATTACTACTGCAGAGAACATTGAGATAGCTGGATCAAGTCAGCTTACAAAGGAGTAGCTTTAAGTAGGCATTGGCACACGTATCCTCTGCAACCGCCATCGATGGCTGACTCCTGAAAAGTCGTAATTATTTTTTGAAACTTTCTCTAAAAGCGCTGTATCTATCATATCATTCTGAGTTAGCATTTCAGGGCTTTCATACTGGACAATAAGTTACGTCTTGATTTCCATCAATCGCCGTGATCGTTTTAGATCACTGCCATGCTATAATGTTCCTCCTTTTTGAGGAGCCTCCTCCAAGCTGTTTTTGATTTTTTTTATATGCGAAGAAGGCAGGGTATAATAAGGGGGTTTGGGGTTTTTATTAGGGTTTCTTTCTTGCCTCAATTTCTTTTGTGGTTTTCTATGTATAAAATTGAAGGGCTGCTTTACTTAGTTTACAGTATAGGCCAGGTCGCGATTGCTCTTTTTGCGGTATTACTTTAGTCCAACACCTTGACTTATTTTGTATGTTTCTAATTTTTTCTATGATTGCGATGTCAAAAGTCATTGATGGAACCAGCGCTACCCAAAAACGGGCTTCCGCGAATGCTGATTTCCTCAAGCAACTCTGTATCAGAACAGGGGTGAAACTGCTGTAGGTGTTTGTATAGCACAGTCAAATTCTAGAAACTGTCAAAAAACTGCTATTACGGTATTAACGTAAACAAATTTCGATCAGACTTTTCGTACACAGTGTTTCTTCTTTGAATAGAAAATTCAGCACTTCCTTCCTTCCCCCGATAAGGGACCACGCTGATAAAGACGACCACAAATAATGCTTTCACCTGTCTCTTACAATAAGAGTTGCATCTTTCATCTGCTAACTTTCTGACGTGAGGATTTTTGCTATCAAATCCTCTGCAGAGACTCCAATACACTGAATCAACAACTGTTCGAGGGTTGGTTGATGGTTGGATTGGTTGAACAAGGTTCAAAAGAAGCAGCACGACAATAAGGGCCCATGTCATTCTGAAATGAAGAGAATTAGACGATGGCGTGATCAGTCGTATCACAGACATTCTTGCAAACTTCGATAAGCGAAGTTTCGATCTAAGTATTACAGGGTTAGCTGCCTTTTGAAAAACGAAACACCAGAGGACCAGCGCAGCAGAAATTTGGTAGCGCCCGAAAATGTCAAAACTTTTTATTCAGCTTTTAAAATACAACACCAACGCAAGAGCCCTCCATCGAGCTTTTTTGGAGCTTTGAAGCACGAGAACTACTGAATATAGTGTGTGCCCCGGCCAGCTTCCCATCGGTACCTTTGCGTCTAACACGCAGCGCGTCCTCGACTCGATGCTCTTCGTTTCGCTTATGAGCAGTAAAACATTTTTTCAAGCAGATGGGAGCGGAATGAGAAGTGGAAGCCTCCAGGTCTACCTCGAAAGAAACTTATGCAAGAAAAGAGGTTTACAACTAACGCTAGATTTGAGATTCTAGCCATTTTCATTTATGCTGATGTGAAAGTCGAAATCGATTAAATGAGAGTATCTAGTAGCAAAAGACGCAGTAGAAAGGCTAATAAGATTTGTGAAACGTTCTCCTCCGCAAACATGTAACAAAAGAAGTGTAGAAACGAGCACATTTGCACCAGCAAAGCCCTGCTGGCTAATTAAAAAGGACTCACAATGAACTAACAATTGTCTTGTCGCGATTGAATCGCGTGAACTCTATCCGAGGCCTAATGGACCTTAGTTATGCTAGGGTCCAGAGTTTGTAACACGATAACAAAATCTTTACTCTTATCACTAATGGAAAGGCAAAGTGTAAAATTAAAGATATATGGTGATATATGGTTATCCGGAAAATAATGTCGCTTTTTGTTTTATCATGCAATATCGCAGCAGGGTGCGCACGAAAGTATGTGAATGGGTATCAACCGATAGATCAGAGCAAGCTCTAGAAAATGAAGCTCGAACATTCGCTCCAGGTTTGATTTGCGTGAAGTTTGGTGCCAAATTTCACAAGGCACCGAAGATCCGAAAAACCGAAAAAAATCGTATCTCCGTTCAAAAAAGTTCTAGGAAGTCCTAACTTGCTCACGCATGGACTCACTATACGACACGCTCGTGTGCATATTTTTGCGTTTTTTCCATGGCTGGAAATAGAGAAAACGAAACTTGGCATGTTTTCGCCAAAGCAATCCTGAGCTTTTCTCACATGGGTGATTCTCTAGCATGAACCTTTAGGAGTACAACCATGAATTTTCAGCTTTAGACAAGCGCTAGTTTTCGAGAAAAATCAAATTGTTTGCAAAAACCGGAAAAACACGACATATTCGCACTTTTGACCTCTTTTTATCTCGTACTGTAGTCATGGAAAAATACCAAAAACTATACAGGTGAATGTCTAGTGTGGAGAGTACATGCCTGTGCAAATTGGAGATCCCTAAGACGTCTGTGAACGGAGATACGATATTTCGGGCGTCTGAAATTTTTTATATTTTGGATACGAACTTCAATTGGAGCAACATCTCTGCGGAGATTTGTGAACTAGCTTGTAGAGCTTGCTTTGCTCTATCGAATGATACCCCAATCGATGTTTTTTGTGGTTATTCTGTCGCGGTAGGATGCCATGCGACATTGTTTTCCGGACAACCTGATACAAAGCTCTTGAAAACCTTGTTTTTGAGGTTAAGTCAAATGTGGTCGCACTGCACTACGGTTTTTGTTCATGACTGTAAGATGCCTGACGATAGTATACGCAATTTGACGTCGGCTTTTGCGATGGCGCAAAGGACGGTTTCAGGCTAAGGAGTCTACGGCGTTGATTGATGTGTAAACATTTCCCAGAGTTGTGATCTCAGCCGCACCATCACATTCGGATTGATTCTGGCTCGAACAATTACTCGAACACTTGGTAGATCGGGATCACTGGATCGTTTTGTTCAACTTTGAAAATGACTCAGTTCACTCATGAATCATCAAATTTTTACAGGGAATGGTTTTGACATTGGATCGCATAAAGTCGCCGACTAGTCTTGACACGCAGTCAATCCTCTGCCAGTCACGTGCACACAACAATCTCCGGCAAGAGTCCCCTTTTGCTGTCACTTCAATAAACTCGAATGCAGGACATAATGCTTTTACCGTATTATAATCCCAAGGATAGACTTGTACAATCCGTTCACTTTGGGTCTTCAGGCAAGCCACAGGTAATACTTAGTTTGTTTTTCGTTATGAAGTGAGGAAACACGTCCTGTGATCTGCATCGGTTAAAAAACGTAAGTACCTAATTTGTAACGATTACTCTCTAACCAGGCGTTAAAGCTTCGCGAACAAGGAGAACAGGTGCGGTGGGGCATCTTGAAGTAGTTTTCCTATTTCAAAACTTAGGAAATTTGTATATAATCTTCAAATTTTCAATGCCTCAACAGGTTGTTAACGAAACATTTTACTAACGCCTGATGTTTTGGCGATGACGACGCTTTCAGAAACCTGATAGCATATTGATGACCGGCGTAAAACATGCAGCCCGTAACATGTTTACAGCAATCAGTTCTTGCAGGGTGAAAGTGAGAGACAAGAATCCATCAAAATGGCAACCGAGATAGCAACCAAAGAAACTTACTTCATTTCAGGACTTCCAGACGATTCTTTGCTTACCGTTCATTTCGGACAGTGTCTAATGCAGTTAAGCAATGTCTCGTGCAAATCCAACTAGATAAAGATGCCTCAGTAAACATTCCACCAGACAGCATCAAGAGACAGTTGGTTTCCAACAGAATTGATATAGCTTGCACAAAAGACTGCAGGATATGTTAGTACGGAATTATTAGTGACTGCTCCAAGTGCGAAGTTGTTCTACGAAATGGAGTGGCAAACATGTAATGCCATTAACATAGGTGAGACCCGCCGATCACTTTAAGTACGTGTGAATGAACATTTAGGAAGTAAAAGACGGCAGAGCCTGTGAGTCCATCTCGGAAAATTGCGGCTCAAGGAAAAGCACTCGAGCGAGCCTCGGGCCTTACTGGATGCATTGCATATGAGTTCTCGGGCAAGCCCCGGCCCTATAGGCCACGGCCCGACAAAGTCACTCCGACGAGCCCCGGGTCTTGCATGACCGCGCAATTAATACATGCTATAGGAAAAAATGCTACTCGCGTGAGATACGTCGTGGTAATAGGGCTACCCTCAACGTTTGTGGCATTAATCAAAAGTCGAGTAGCACCAGGTTCTTGTTCATCAGTGGTGTCTCGGATTGAGCCTTATTGGACTATTTGGTCCTGAGATCTGATGACCGTCGGAAACTTTGTTATGGTGGTGTAGATGCCGCGAAATTTTGAGAATGAAAGGTGCGAACCCATTAGTCATACTGAGGTGCACTGCCACCCCCCCCCCCCTCCCCCCAGATGCATATTGCGCATTTATTGGGCGCCTGCCGGGCCACCCGCTGGCGTTGTTCGGGCGCTTACCGGGCACTTACCGGCGCGCCCTCGGGGTGGGCGCGGCGTCGCCCGTGCGCGGCCGGCGGGTGCTCGCCATAATTGTCCGAGATGGGGCAAAAACAGAAAATAAGATCAAATTCTGGCATCTGAAAAAACATTTGTGCTCGAAAAGTTTTGGAATCTATATATAAATAAAACTCAACCTCTGTAAATTTGTTCGTATGTAAGTATGTGGCTTATAGACTCCTTTGTTTGTGAACGATGAATCCGAAATTTGCTCCCCCATAAATGAGGCCAAACGCAGAAGATAGGCCACTTTTTGCGACGATTCACTGGGTCCTTTTATCGATTTATTGATTTGTTTACTCAGTAAGGGAGTAAACTTATCAATCATTCTTGGATCATAGTTGGGTAAGCGGGGCGGTAAAGATCATTTACATCTTGCGACGAGGAGGATTCGGTTCTTCGAGTCAGCGGGATGTGTCGCGGAAGCGCTTCTTCAGATATGGATAAGGAAGGTAGTCTTGACGCTTTTGGATTCTAATGCCTTCCACCGGGCATTGGAGCCCGCTTTCCGGGTAGGACCGGGAATGACATCTAGTCATCATATATTCTTGCTCGTACTCCTTGAGTAGCAAGAGCGAACAATCTTATATGTAAAGCTGAATGTCTGTTTGTATGTCTGTTTGTTTGTCTGTCTGTCTGTCTGTCTGTCTATACGTATGTTCCGAATAGAAAATTCCATTTCTGAAACGATTTTTGCAAAAAATCGATAAAATCGATATCGATCGATGACGAAAAGTAGCCTATGACACCCGCCGGGGCCCGAAGTGTGTGTGTGCCAAGTTTGGTCCGGATCGGTTGAGAAATGGAATTTTCTACTCGGAACATACGGCGGAGCCGGGTAAGCCAGCTAGTTGTCTGTAAGAGTGTTGCAGTGGCGTATTGAGGGGGACGGCCCCCCCCCCCCCGAGAACGGGTCGCGAATTTTTTGAATACTTACATGGGCTATAAATTTGTGCAAATGACTCGTCTGCATTTGTAAATAATTAAAATAATTTTTTTTTCAAAAATTCATTTTGGCCTTATAAGAAAAAATTTTTCGGGGGCGTGGCTCACGCCACGCACCTTCATCGAAAAATTTTTTTGTCAGTACTCTGCGTTGATACCACTGCT